TTTAAAGGTCCCTCCATACTGAAGCAGAATTTAAGGATATCTCTATATAACAGCATGGTGCTGTGTCATAGGATGGACATTAAATATGAGTTCATACCTTCTCATATGCCAAAAAAGATTTAAGAACCTAGTTAAGAAAACAGGTCAAACTTACCCAATACTCTTGACATCTCAAAGAATACTGCTGACAGGTGCACAACTATCCAAGCTACCAAAATACCCTATGGTACTAAAAAAACCTCACTCTTTCAGTGCTTAGAGAAGATATGGGTTTATTATCATATGTGCAGGGTAATTGAAACTGCTTTGTAATCATCAAACAATTTTATGCTAGAGAATGATAAATCGGGAAGTTATCTGTGTAACTCTCAAGATTTGCTTCAGGTCTGGAATGATGGACCCAAAAGCAGTGCTATGACAAATTTGATCCAGGAATTCTCTTCCCAGTCAAAGAAAAGGCACTGAAGGGACTTTTTTTTTTTTTTAATTCTAGATCAGGCCAGACGAGACTAGAAATTCTATGGGTCAGACAGTAGCTTCTGATCAGTTACTATAAAACTAACAGACATGATGCTGGTCAGTAATGCTTACCAAAGTCTTAAGGGTATAAATACAACTTTAAATTCAGAAATAGTAGTTTTTATACTGAGATAGTAAAAAAACAAAAACAAAAACTTCAGTGGTTAGCTTTCTGTTACTGTTTCTTAAAATGAGTAGGATGGTAAGGAAGTATTCAAGAAAATTATTTTTATATCCTTTTGATAATTTAAATACTTTAGATGATTTACTAATCATGCCTTCTAGTAACGGGTAGACTGCACTCAGTTTTCACAGGAAATACTAGCTGGCCAGAATTTAGTATCACTGTTTTATTTTCATTATAGTTTAAGGTAATCTGCAATCTATGCATAAAAGTAGTACTAATTTTCTATGTATAGAATAATATACTTCCTTTTAAAAATGTTTCATCAGAGAGTTAACATAAGCCAATAAAAAAGGTGAGTTGATTTAAAAAGTAATATTTCAAAATATGATTTTAATGTTATGTTTGTGGTCAAACCTCTTCCAATTTTTCCATAGTATCTGTTTAGAAAATTCGACTTTAAGATGTAGAAACTGGCCAGTCATGCCTTCATGCCTATAATTATCGCTACTCAGAATAATTGTCTGAGGACTGAGGTTCAATGCTAGCAAAAGTATCGCTACTCAGGATAATTGTCTGAGGACTGAGGTTCAATGCTAGCCTTGGTAGACAAATCCAGAAATGGCCATGACTCCAGTAGTAGAGCACCAACCAGACTTGAGCAAAAAAAGCCAAGCAAGAGCTTGAGGTTACGTCCAAGCCCTACATTAAAAAAAAAAAAAAAAAAAAAGTCTAGTAATCATTTACATGAGTTGAAAGATATTGTATAAACTACATTTGTGATCAAGACCTTTCCCTCAGCCTCCTCATTCAGAAACAAAAGTAATAGCCATTTTAGGATATCATTGTACTGTCATTTTTCATCTCAACAAAATACAGGCCAGGGAGGACAGTGACCTGACCTAGCTCAGACAGCCCCATTCCCGCCCAAGCATCTCCCTGCGGCAATAGCAAAGGTTAGAAATCATGGTTTCTCTGATGAATAGTTAAGCAATCATGGTAAAGGTAATTCCAAACAACAAACGCTACCAAAACTCTTGAACTTTTATCAAGAGGGGAAGTGCTGTCTAGCTCTTTTATGCCAACTGCTCCTTGCAGATTTGACTTCCAGTCTGCTCCATGAAGGATAATGACCATAGAGCCCTCAGAGAAGCCACCTCTGTACATACATAGAGAACTAAGAGATGGAATTTTTCTGGCTTTGAGAGATTTTGAAAGCTGAAGTCATTTTAAATGTTTATCTTTCTTTTTTTTTTTAAATACCTGCATCCAGTGAAGAGAATGAGCTATTAGCTTATTTCAAGTTATGACCAAAATGTCTAGCTTGACTGCACTATACTTCTGACTGGTATTCCTGGGGCATTCAATTCCCTAAGTGGCATTTTATACACACCTCTAATTCCTACAGACTTCCACCATCTTTTCCCCAGCAAAGTGGAAGGTATTAGAGAGTACAATCTCATGTTCCCAGTACTAAAGTTAATAACCTATCTGCATTTACTCCCATACACTCCATGGCCTAAGCACTAGCAGGTCAGCTTATTGTCTTTAGTTGCTGTTTTATATCCAGTACCTAAGACAATGCCTTGCAAGTGCAGAAACAGTATTTGAGTAAGTGGATAAGTGAACTACTGCCATCTTTTACATTAAGAGCTTATAGTACACAGTAATTGCTGTCACTATTCTAACTCTGCAAGCAGTCCTTCATCCTCCAAAATTGCAGCTTTCTAAACTCAACAATGACCCCGCTAATGTGTGTTCATGAATGAGTTGATTTCCTGTTTGGTGTGCATACCAGTCCCAGGGCTTCCTGGGGCTTGAATTCAGGGGCTGGACATTTGCTGTCCTTGAGCTTTCATGCTCAAGTCTAGTGCTCTACCACTTGAAGCCACAGCTCCACCTTCACCTTTTTTGGTGGTTGGCCAGAGAGAAAAGTTTCATAAACCTATGAATCGTCATCCCCAGAGCTCAGCCCTCCTGAGTAGCTAGAATTATAGGCATGAGCCACTGGCACCTGGCAGGTGATTCACTTTCTGAAGCCCTTTCTTCTGTTTCGGTTGAATCATTTTTTGGTTTTCATTAAGGGTTCTCAAAAAGCTCCTTTGCTGGTTCTTCTGTATTACAAGGGTTGCAGTACCTAGGGCTGACTCCTTTCTATATACCTGGTTGCTACTCAAAATGCAGAGTTTTGAGCAGCAGCAAATTTGTTAAAAAAGTAGAATCTCAGGGCCCATACCATATCTGTTGAATCAGAATCTGCATTTTTCAACAAATTGAGATGACTCGTGCATAGAAACTTGGAGAAGCACGAATTCAATCACATGACTTCATCACCATTGATAGGCAGACTCTTCAGTGGTTATTGCCTCTCTCTTCCCTCAATTCCATGGTATTCTCCTAGAAATTGGAGGCATCTCAAAACATGCACAGAACAAAAACCTTATTTTCCCCTCAAGCCAAAAACCTAAGTTGTCATCACTTTACTTTCTAATTCCTGGGCCTAAGTCCTGGTGGCTATGTTTTTAAAACAGAGAGCTATCATTACACATCATTTCCGTTTCTAACCACCATAATTTAAGCCACCAGTATTTTCTGGTGCAGATTTCTGAGTCTTCTGTTTCCCGATTTCCATCTATGCTGCCCATAATACTATAAACAGTATCAACTATGACCTTCAAATCCGATCATGGCTCCCAACCCTTCAATGGCTTGCCCAATTTTTCATGGCTTCCCTGAGCCTACACTTCCCTTGTCCTTCTACAATGTGCTCTAACACTTGGCTTCAAGTTTGTTCTACTCCTCCCACCCCAAACGCTTTATACCTATTTCATTTCCTTATTTCTGTTCTATATACTCTATTTTACTTGCATTTCAGCACTTAAAGTCACCTGACATTATATGTGCTTGATTCGTCCACCAAGATATAAGGGCCACAAGAAGGGGCTTTTTCTTTTAACACCACACCCAGGTTAAACAGTTCCTGGTGCACATTGCACTTAAGAATAGGAGTATTCAAGTGTTGACCATAGAACTGCAGAGGTAGGAGATACACTGTTGTGTATGTATCTACACTTATATGTGCTACAGTTACACAAATCTGGATGTTGAGAATCCATTAGCAGTTTCCAAAGTTTTCAAAATGGGGCAGTGGTTCTGAAACATTTCTATACACTAGAATGGGGATCTGTACATTAGAATGAAGGTTTAGAATTTCTTTTTGGGGGGGAGGGAGGTGTCAGTGATGGGGCTTGAACTCTGGGCCTGGACACTGTCCCTCAGCTCTTATCAGCTCAAGGCAAGCACTCTACCACTTGAGCCACAGAGCCACTTCCAGTTTTCTGGCGGTTAATTGGAGATGAGAGTCTCACGGACTTTCCTGCCTGGGCTGGCTTTGAACTGTGATCCTCAGATCTCAGTCTCCTGAATAGCTAGGAGGATTACAGGCATAAGCCACCAGCGCCCAGCAGGGTTTAGAATTTCTAATGCATAAATCACATTCCAAATGAACTATGTCACAATTGCTGAAGTTAGGGTACAGGTATCCATGGTTTTTGAAACCCCTGAGGTAATTCCAATGTGAGATAAACCGCTGGAATATAGCTATAAGATGGTAACTATGATATGATATGGTAAATGAGAAAAGAAAGAACTCTCCATTGTAATGTTATATGAATTTAAGACTTCTATTTCCCATATGCTGCAGAAAACTAAAGGAAATTCATAAAAACAAAGCTGTTAAAAACATTAGGAGCATATCTTCCAGGATATTCCAGGTTTGTTTGCATATCAAAGTGGAAATCAAACTTGGGCATTTCGGTTAGTTGTTTTTTTTTCCTCCCTTCCATATGCTGAGACAAATTGATATATAAAAAAACCGGTAACTTCTATAGAAGTCACACCTGAAGGATTTGGGGGGGGCTTGGCCTCAACACTGCTTTTTAATGGTGTCAGTTAAATAGCTCACTCTAGGAAAAACCCCTTTATCAGTGAAACAAAATGCTACCTTCTCAAGAAGGAAAAGGGTTCTTTACAATTTGATATAAATTAATTCTTAATCATACTATTATTTCTTGCTTAAGAAATAACATCACCAACTAGCTCTAATCACCAATTAAAATAGCCTTAAGACAGAACTTAATATTGTGCATTTATCCAACTGTCAAGCTCACCTTTATCTTCAGACTGCAGAATGGACAACATAAACAAAAGAGAAAAACCATTTCATTATTAAGATCCTTCACTACAGCACAATTCTAATTCAAAAGAACCTTGGAGATAGTTAAGCCAATTCATTTTATAAGTAAATGACTTGACACTCAGACAAGGTAAAATGATGTGCCTCAAAGTCACACAGGAAGGCTAGAAGAGAAAAAAACATTTTTTTTTCCAAGTAAGATAGGACATTTCACATGTTAATCAAAAAGAATCAAGGTCATCAGATTAAAATGATATGAGAAATAAAAGAATGTTACACAGGATTTAAAGGACTAGCCAAGCTATACTGCCCCTTTCAACCAAAACTGCTCCAGACATATGGACACATATCAATTAGAATGCTTACCCTTAAAATATTAGAATCTTGCAATTGAATTTACAAAATACATTATTAATTGCATTGTTATAATGAAATTAGTTCATTAAACATGAAAACATCAAACAGCACCAATACCAGAAAGTTAAGAAGGTAAATACACTATTAATTAAAATAATGTATAGTCACTGATTGGGACAGAAATGAACTATATTCCCTAACAAAGCTATTAAGATGCATTTTTTAAATTGTTCAACCTTGAACCATGATAGTAAATAATCCAAATTTTGCCAATATTAACGAATGGCAACATTTTTGGTATCCTAACTACTCACCTGTCCCAATTAAACCAACAAAACACAAAACTTCTTAAGCCCTAGATTAAATGTATCTATTTTGAGAAGCAGGAAGGCATTTACAAATGGGCTAGCGGTATATCAAAATGCTACTAAGGAAAAGACAGCAGCAAATACTCTAATAAGAGCACATTATTCCACTTGGATCCCAAATTATTTTTATCTCTAGTTCCGTAAATTTCTGGAAGACTAGAGAGTAACAAGTATATGTATAAATGGGGCTAGGCAAAAAGCAGCTCTAAAGAGAACAGTGTCATATTTAAATTACCCAAGATTATCCAATACTTTCAGAGAAATCCAGCTATATCTAAATTTTTTAAGCACATAGAACTAAACTGTTAGCAAAATTTTTATGTTTACCCCCAAAAATAGCACTGGTGTTTAAAGTGAGAATGAAATAGGCATGGTTTGTGAAATCTGTACAATATCCACATCACTGTCTCCCTGGTTCCCTGGTCCTTTCTTCAGGTGATCTGAAGACTACCTGGTTTAAAATATTTGGTAATTCAGTGCAGAAAATTAAGGTCACAGACAAAGTACAACAACTTTTAATACACCATTAATACTAATGATTAAAAATTATTGCATAGTCGTATGCATTTACCCTAAAACATTTTCTGAAAGTAAACCAATTATATAAAAGACAAATAACCCTTTAAAATATGGATGGCCTTTACTACCTCGATCTTCTTTCCTTTTTTGTCTTTTCTGTACTTTTGTCCATAGTTTTCTCATTATCTCCCCTGCACTTTGGGCAATACCATTTCCCCTTTGGTTTATAGGTAAGTGAAACACATGAAAAGTGAAACCACTCAATCGGACACTGTTCATTGTCACAGCCTATCATTTCCCCATAAGACACTTGGTTACATAAACAGTATGTAGGTTCATTGGGATCTATTGCAAACTCAACAGGTGAAGTTTCCCTTTCCTGCTTGGCCTTAGAGCGTTTCTTTTTCTTGGCTGACTTGGATTTCTTTTCTTTAGGTGGCTGATCATCACAATCTTCAATCCCATTTGTCATATGACACAAATCACGGCTTTCACTGGTTCGCTGTCTACGGGGTCTTCTTGAAGATCTTTCTGGTTGGTTAGAATCCATCTTTGTTTTATCTGAGGCTCTTTCACTGTCAGCAGGATCTTGGAAACACTGTGAATGTAACTCCATTTGTCTTGCTCGATTTTCCACCAATTCAAGCATTTGTGTGACAATCTGAATTTTTTCATCTCCCAATTCTTGACTATTGATTAATGCTCTCTGGAGATGCTGCTGTAGGCGTTTTTTCTGGTTTGAATCATCTTCTTTCTTGTATTTTTCATAGACATCATCAATTTCCTTTAATGTTTCTAAAAAGAGGAAAAGGAAAAGAACATGTATATTAGCACATATAACATTAAGTTATAACTAACTCAAAGCATCAACCCACATTCCTCTCTAGTATGTGTGCACATTACAAACTTGACTGCTGGGTACTAGGTAGCTCACACCTATAACCCTGGATCCTCAGGATTGAAGTCTGAAGCCAGCCCAGGCAGGAAAGTCTGTGAGAATTTCATCTCCAATTAACCACCAAAAAGCTGGAAGTGGAGCTGTGGCAAAGCACACTAGGCTTGAGAAAAAAGCTCCTGGGGCCATACCCAGGCCCCGAGTTCAAGCCCCAGGACTGGCACAGAAAAACAAACAAAAAAAACCTCGATTGCTAAGCCAATGGCACACAACTGTAGTAATCCTAGCTACTTAGGAGGCTGAGATCTGAAGGATCACAATTTAAGGCTAGTCCAGACAGCAAAGTTTGCTAGACTCCAATTCCAAAATAACCATGGCTTAAGTAGGAGAATGGCAGTCTAGCAAACATGAGGCTGTGTTCAAACCCTAGTAAGAGAAAAACGTTATTCTCCATACAAAGACATTACACAGTATGAATGTGCACTTAGAAAAAAAAACACAAAACTTTAAAACTATGTATATTAAAAAGATAATTCAATAAATTAATAATCAACAGTATTTTATATATGCAGAAATACTTAAGGCCACTTTAGAGTCTACTAGGTTTCTTATTTACTGCCCATATACCACTCAAACTTTCTAACAACCCATACACAAATCTGACATGCTGAACTCCAATCCTAAAACTTGAAGAGGTTCTAACACTAGATTACAGATGACAGTCCAACTCTGTTTACAGTTCAATCAATGACTCTAGAGAGACCTGATAACCTTCACTTTCACCATGGTACCCTTGGACAATCTTAGAAAAGGCAAACATCAGCAACTCTTAGCTTCCTATCATCTTAGTTTTATTGGCACTTTTATTTTAGGGTCACAAGGGAATTTCCAAAAATTAAAACTATTTCCAAAGTAGGTCTATTGTTTCTGGCACCACCTGACCAAGCTACTATAAAATTACAGTATAATCAGCACTGGATCGTTCTGCCTTTGTAGATAATTCAGCAGTTGATTCTAAACTTTTTGAAACTGCTGATTCAATTGCACAGCGAATAGGACACTTATTTAAATAACATAAAATAGCTGAGTCACTAGAAAGCATGCAAAAATCTGAAAATGCACCGACCTACTGTGATGGTGCATGCTTGTAATTCCAGCACTTGTTAGGCAGAATTATTTGGGTGGTATAGGTTGGAGGATCAAGAGTTCAAGGCCAGCCAGAAGTATATAGACCTGTCTCAGAACAACAGAAAAAAAAAAATCTGAAAATATAATTTTGGATGTCACCAAAGAATACTTTTGTTGGTCATAGGGCTTGAATTCTGGGCCTGAACGCTGTTCCTCAGCTCTACAAACTCAAGGCTAGTGCTCTACCACTTGAGCCACTGTACCACTTCCAGTTTTCTGAGTGTTTTATTGGAGATGAGTCTCACAGGCTTTGAACCACAATTTCTGATCTCAGGCTCCTGAGTAGCTAGGATTACAGACGTGAGCCACTGGTGCCCAGCTCAAAAGAATACGTAAGAGCTATTTCTTGTCCTTACAAAATATGCTGCCTGAAAGAGTTCTGTCTTAGAAGAGGTGGGAAAATAAACATTAATTTATCACACCACATAACACACCATTTCTACACTCCATTATTGCTGCCTGCCTACCCCTCTCTTATATATTCCAATGTTATTTACTACAAAACACAGAAATGTTAAAAATTTGAGTAAAATGCATACACTGGAACTGTCTTAAAGTAAGGTAACAAATATTTAATACAATTCTTAGGAGTTAGCTCCTCCCTGAATACTGCAGGCTCTCATAGTGGATGGGCAACTGTGCCACCACAGTTGAGAGTACTCATACTTGCACAACATATTGTCAAATAAGGCTGTCTATAGCATTTGCTCCACTAGGCTTACAAGTGGATTTCCTGAGAACCTAACTGTTGTCCAGAAAAAAATGGCATTATTTTACTGTTACAAAATTATTTTTAAATTTACACGCTGGTGGATGACGCATGTAATCCCAGCCACTTAAGATAAGATGGGAAGGACTGAGGGTGCAGTGGTACTGACACACCAACCCAAGCTAGGGTGGAGGCTGAGATTGGGAAGATCACAGTTCCAGAAAAGTCTGGGAGATTCTGTGTCTACAGAGGGGGAAGCTGGATACAGAAGCAGACATTTGTGATCTCAGCAACCACCAAGAGGAGGGACCCTACTTCAAAAATAAACAGTGAGGAAAATGGCTGGAAATAAGATGTAAGTACTAGAGCACTAGCCTGGCAAGCACAAGGCCTGCCAAAAAGGGGAAAAGACAAACTTCATTTCAAGTATTTTCTAATAATGATTCAGAATATAAAAGCCATATAGCATACTTGCACATATTTATTGTATGAGATAAAAATTCACATTTCAAAGGTATCTAAATTATGTAGTGAGAAGAAAGGAAATCAACACTTCCTCAGCCCCTATCATGTGGTAAATATTTTATCATTTTAATCTCCACAGAAAACTTGAGAGGAAGCTACCATTTCTATGTGTTAAAAAAAAATAATTCAAGGGGTTAAGAAACCTCAGACTTTATATACAGACTTTATCTGCTTGTACCATTTAAGCACTTTCAACAGGCTGCATGAAAAGCACTTGAAATTATGTATTAAGTTTTAGTAGTTCAAAGGCTAACCATTTTCTGTAACAAATACTCCACTCATTTGTGATTTTTTTCTATTCCTAATCCTTTTTTTGAAATAAAATTTTTGTATTTGATTCAATAATCTCTGAAAGTATCTCTTTACCGTGGGGAGAAATGTGATTGCCTCTATATAATTTGTAACATTAAATACTAATGCATTACATCCCCAGACCAGAAAAATTTAAGAACTAGTGAAAAAAGTCCTATCTGAACACCAAGCACAAAAGCGTATAAAGCTAATAAATATATAAAACTTTGCAGCGGCTGGGAAGGTGGCTCAGTGGTAGAGTGCTTGCCTTGCATGCCTGAGGCCCTGGGTTTGATTCCCCAGCACCACATAAGCAAAAAGAAAAAAAGCCGGAAGTGGCGCTATGGCTCAAGTGGTAGAGTGCTAGCCTTGAGCTGAAGAGCTGAGGGACAGCGCCCAGGCCCAGGGTTCAGGCCAGCACGACCAGACCCAAAAAAAAACAAAAACAAAAACAAAAAAAACTTTGCAAGTTATCTTAGCACCTGTGTCCATGACTGAAAACTAGATCACTGTTTTAAGGTTAATCTTGAAAATAATCACAATGGGACTGAGGATTTGTAATATCTTTCAATTTTATATGGACTGCTATATTCCTACTATCATAACAGCAATTTTTAACAACTGGATGATCAGACAGCAGACTTCCCACTGAAGAAATTATGATTACCCCCATCTTAAAATAGCATTACTTTTAAGAAGGCACACATACCTTTAAAGAAATTAAAGAACATGTAAGCATTACAAACATCATTGAAAAACTATAAACATACAACATAGAATTCCTAAATGCTCCCCTCTCTCTTTCTACCTACCCTTCTTCTCCCCCCGCCCTTCTCCCACAATCCTGGGGCTTGGGGCTTAATTTCCTACCTCAGATCTCAGCTTCCCGAGTACCTAGGATTACAGATGTGAGAACCACCAGTGTGACAGGCCATATGTCTCATTTTAGAGCTACCTTTTACATGCTCCATAACTGTAGAAAAAAGTACAACTGTTAACTGTTATCTACTTATTTTTTGTGTCAGTTCTGGAACTTGAACTCAGGACCCTGGGCATGGTCCTTGAAGGGTGTGCCAATGGCACCAGCTACAAGTGTTATTTTTTAAAAAGGAAAAGAAACCAGGTGCAGGCAATCCTAACTACTCAGGAGGTTGAGATCAGAGGGTTGTGGTTCAAAGCCAGCCTGGCCAGGAAAGACTTTGAAACTCTTATCTCCAATTAACCCCCAAATAAAGCTGAAGTGGAGCCAGTGGCTCAAGTGGTAGAGTTCAAGCCTCAGAACCAGTGCTCAGGAAACATACACACACATACACACACACACACACACAGAGGAAATGCCATATGACACAATATGAGAATGGATGTGTACCTGAAGCGTCCAGCTTTGAAGTAAAATATTCTCCATCTAAGTAACTCAGCAAATTAAAAACTTCTTTTGAGATGGAATCTATGTACCCTAGACTGTCCTCAAACTAAAAATTCTGGGACTACAGGTGCAAACTACTAGTTAAACTCCTTGAAAGTTTTATCTGTATGATGAGGTTTAACTTCATATATTCTGGGCCTGGTGCAATAATTGGCATACATGGATTCAGAAAACAAATGAATAGGTTAAAACAGATGCCTAAATGCTCTTCTTATGGAACAGTCCAGAAAATATTATCTTAGAAGTAGGTTATTCTTTGGCCATTGGGTTAGTGACATGCATTGGGGGGGGGGGGGGAGGGATGGGGGACGCGACTGGTCCTAGCTAGAACCCAGGGGCCTGAGCGCTGTCCTTCAACTTTATCGCTGTACCACTTGGAGCCACAGCTCCATTTCTGGCTTTTGGGTGATTAATCAGAGATAAGGGTCTTTTGGACTTTTCTGCTGGGGCTAGCTTCAAACCGTGATCCCGAGTAGCTAGGATTACAGGTGTGAGCCACCGGCGCCCGGCTTAGTGAAAAGTGTCTTCAAAAATAGAGAATGGGTCCACATGTCCGCTTTAGGTCTAAAGCCTTCTTGATTTGGGGTTGCTAAAAGCAAGGGGGGGGGGGGGAAGGCAGGCAAAAGGTGATGAACTGCACCGTAATAAAGGCTGACGCCCTGCCTCAGTTTCTCTGACTATAATAAAAGATGGTTGTCGTCTTATCACTTAAACACGTAAATAAAACTTGGAGGGGGAGGGACCGCGGGGTGAAGGGACGCCAAGCGGTTGCCCGGTCAACGAAGCCACTTCCTCCCTGGGGCCCGGAAGTGACACCTGGCCCGGAACCTACGCGGAGCCAGGGTCGGCGCCCGTCCCGGGAGCCGCGTCCCCGGCCTGGACCCCTCGGGTGGGAGGATGTTCTACACCTCACCACGAGCGCGCTGCGAGGCCCGGGGCCGCGTCCGCCGGGGCCCCGCCGACGCCCCGGCCGGGCCCGAGCGCCGCCCGCCCCGGCCCATTCCGACACCAGCCATTTTCCAGCCCCGCGGGAGCGCGCCGCGCGCCGCACCCCGCCCCGGCCCACGTCACTCCCAGGCCCCGCCCCCGGGACGGGCCCTCCCCGCCACACACCCCCCTCTTCCTCCACCCACCCCCCCCGGTCCCGGCGGAGGGGGGGGAGGGACCCCTCCCCTCCTAGCCACTCGGCCGGAGCAGAGCTCAAGGCGGCGACACCCGGCGTCCCGGAACTTTCCCCGGGGCGAGTGGGAGGCACGGGGTGCCCCGCGTCCCGCCGTGTCGGGGTGCTGGGGCGCGGGCTCCCCCGGGTCCGCCTCGGCCGCCCCTCCCCTCCCCCCAGCGCGTTCCGATGCATCAGCTCGCCGGGGAGCTGAGGGCCGCCGGGGGCGAGGGACAGCCAGCCCCGCGGCCGTCTCCCCGAGGCTCCCGCCGGGTGGCACCCTCCCTCGCCCCGCGGGGCGGCGGGGAGGCACGGGGCCCGCGGACGCCGGAACAAATGCAGCTTAAAATGGCTGATTCCCTCCCCACAGCAGCTGCAGCCGCTGGGGCTGCAGCGGGGGCTGAGGAGCGACCCTCCCGACCCCCTCCACACACACACACACACACACACCCCTACACGCGCGCGCGCGCAAGCACACACACACACACACCCCGAAACCCCTTCCAAGTCCTCCGGAGCGCAGCCGGGAAAAGGAAGGGCCACGACTCGGGTCTCCACCCTCCTCGTCGTCCCGCTTGCACGCTCGGGAGCGGGGGATGGGAGGGTGGGTGTCACGGGAGGGACGGACAGTGGCACTTCCCGGGGCGGGCCGAGGGCCGGAGCAGCCCGAGGCCCGCAGATCCCGGGAGCGGCGGAGTCACCTCGCGGGCCTCCCCCCCCCCCCCCCCCCGCGCCCCGCGCCCGGTCCCTTACCTTGATATTTGTTGTCCAGCTCTCGCAGCACGGACACGTTCCTCTGCATGTCGTGGGGCAGCGACTCCACGCACTCGAGGTAGTCCTGCACGTAGCAGGTGAGCAGCCGGCTCCGCTCCCCGGTGAGGAGCGCGGCCGGCGGGTACAGTTGCTGCTGCTGCTGCCCTAACATCCTCGCCGCCGCCGCCGCCGCCGCCTCCGCATCCAGCAGCCACGCATGCAGCAGCCGCGGCGCTCCGCTCGGCGGCCCGGCGCCGCGGGGACACGGCCGCCGCTCCGGAGGGCACCGCCGAGTCCCCCGATCTCCACTCCCCCCCGAAAGCAGCTCTCACTCCCCGCCCCCGCCGTAACCAGCCCGGGGGCGGGGCGAGACCAGGACTCCCTCCTCTCTCCTCCTCCCGGTCCCCAGGACCACGGCAGCGGGGATCCCCCCCCCGCAGCCCCCCGCCGAGCTGGCGGTGGTCCCCGGCGCGGACACTTCCTGCCCTTCTCGGAGTCCCCAGATGCTACTCGCGCCGCCTACTAGCCCGGATCCCCATGACAAGCCCGCTCGCTGGCGACTCTCCGCTCCGCCACCCTCCGTGCCTGTCCGACAGACTCTCTCAGCCCGCTGGCCCCGCCCCTCCGCGGCGGTCGCGTCTGCGCCTGCGCAGGCCTCACTCCTAATAAGGCAGGGGTCCCGCCCCTACCGCCCTACCGAAGGGTTCGCATTCTCCCGCCTTCCCGCCGCCGCCCGGGCGATTGGTCCGTCAGCCCTGGGCGAGTGAGGGGGAGGTGCACAGAGAGGCCAAACGGCAGCGGCGCCCCGCCTCCTCTTAAAGGGGAAGCACGGCTGCGCCCGCCCCTTCGCCCAGTGTCTGAATGGGACCTGAGAGGACAGGCGTTGGGCTTCTCGCCTCTGCCCTTCCCACGGAGAGGAGGAAACCTTGGTTCTGTCCTCGCGGCTCGGTGTGACCGACTTTTATCCTCATCAGGCGGGTCAAGCGCGGCCCCTTGCGAGCCTTAAAAGGAGCAGCGGGGTGGTTGAACAACCCGGAGTGAGGGTCTCGGGAACTACGCTACCCAGCGTGCAGCGGGGAGGCTCCCGGCATGCGTGGCGGCGGCTTCCCGCCGCGCCGCCGCCGCCTCGGCTCTGCCCGGGGGTCGCCGGCCCGCCTAGGGTCGCTGCGCGGCGGCCGGCCGGGCACCGGGGAGGGGGCGCTGGCCGGGAGGCAGACGGCGCTTTCCCAGTCCCCCGTCCCTCCCTGCGTGTCCTTTTGGCTTTGCAGTCCGCTCGGGCCCCTTTCCCGCGCGGGGATGGTTGTCAGGGCTCGTCGGTCGTCGGCGGGGGAGAAGGGATGCCGTGGACGGCGTCCGGCCGACCGTCTCCGGGATCGAGCCGTGAACGAGCATCCCCCGCCGCCGCGGGTGTGTGGGCCGAGTAAGGGGACACCTCGAGACCTTGTGTCTTAGTTTGGTTTTGGTTTTATCCTAGGACGACAACGAGAAGAGAGAAAGAGGGGTCCGGCCGGTCCGTGGTGGTCCGCGCCCTCCGTGGCCCGCGGGCCCCAGGGCCTTGTCGGTGGGCGTGAGCGGCTGGCAGGGCTTAATCTCTGCGTGGTGTAAGTGCAGTGCCCGGCGGAGGAGCTGACGTTACGGATACCCTTTCGGTGGGAGTAACAGTGTGCGGGTTTTATTTTATGGTTAAAGTCGGTTCTACCGAACGAATACACGGAGAGTTTTAATGCAATGCCTATATGAACAAACCTTAACTGCCCGCCGAACGGAAACGTGAGTGACGGGTTTAGGGTGTTTCTGGAGTCGGGTTTGCCGTGAGGTGCCACCTGTGGCGCTTCCGACACAGCTGTTAAAAGCCATTGACTTGCAAAGGTCTCGAGCTCCGGAGACTTAAACTAAAACGAAGCCTGTCAGGGGATTCCACATCTTGATGACATCAATATTGACCCCTTGTTTATGGTCAGCCCCATTCGGCACTGTGGGTTGTATTTCTGAGACTCTCACGGGGGAGATTTATTGGTGTCTTTTCTTTTTCCTCTTGGTACTGGGGCCGGGGAGCTGTCCCTTAGGCTAGTGCTGTACCACTTGAGCCACAGCTTCACTTCCAGCTTTTTGGAGATTAATTGGTGATGACTCTCATTGACTCTCGCGTCCCGGCTGGCCGAGGCTCATGGACTTTGCAGGCTAGGCTGGCTGGAATCCTCAGATCTCAGCTTCTTTCCAGCTGTGATTACAGGCAGGAGCCACTGTTGCCTAGTTTATTTCGTTCTTTAAATCTTTCGGCTTACCCGAGGAGAAAACAGTGACTGTTTACTGGATTTTAGCCCCAGGAAAACCTCCCACCCCCAAACACACACACACACAGTACTTAAAAACTGAATTTTATTTTATTTTTTTTAACCTGAACCCTAGAGTTTTTGCATCATCAGCAGTTTGATTCAGCCAATCCTTACTGAAGGACCAAAACTATGCAAGATGCCTTGTTATTCAGATTAGATACAGACTGTACCTATGGATTTATTCAGCTTGGTAAGTGATTCACAGACAAACGACTTGCATAGGAACAGAGAAAAGGCAATGCTGCAGCATGCCAGCCTCATAAAGCACAATGAAAGAAAGGAACAATAAATATAGGCTAGGAGACATTAGCAGAATTACTTTCATCCTTATAATTCTGTTGAATAGACTGAAAGAAGCAAAAAAAAAATCCAAGGGCTGGGAAGGTGGCTCAGTGGTAGAGAGCTTGCCTTGCATGCATGAGGCCCTGGGTTCGATTCCTCAGCACCACATAAGCAGAAAAAGCTAGAAGTGGTGCTGTGGCTCAAATGGTAGAATGCTTGCCTTGAGCTGAAGAACTGAGGGATAGGGCTCAGGCCCAGAATTCAGGCCCCATGACCAACCCAAAAAAAAAAAAAAAAAATCACTTGGGGCTGGGAAGGTGTCTCAGTGGTAGAGCGCTTGCCTTGCATGCATGAGGCCCTGGGTTCAATTGCTCAGCACCACATAAGCAGAAAAAAAAAAGCTGGAAGTGGTTCTGTGGCTCAAGTGGTAGAGTGCTATCCTTGAGCTGAAGAGCTGAGGGACAGCACCCAGGCCCAGAGTTCAGGCCCCACAACTGTACCCAAAAAATTAATAAATAAATAAAATATATTAAAAAAGAACCAAAAAATCCAAATAATAGTTCTTATTCAGCTGGTATAAACCAGCTTTTTTTTATATATATAAAATACTGTAACATGTGCATGTATGAATTATTTCATATTGTTCTAAGAGTTAATTTAAAGCTATTTCTGACTTGCATGTGAAAGCAGCCCAGGAGTGGGTAAGGAATACTTACCCATAAACCCAACTGGAACTGAAGAAGGTAAGATGCTCCTAAATAAGTGTATCCTAAATAAGTTAGCTTTAAATTCTAAGTCAGTTGTTAGAAGAGGCCTCTGTTTATGCCTTCACACTATTCCTTGTGAGGAGAGAGAGCAACTTCATGCTGATTAAAAACACTAGCAAGTAGTCAGGCCAATTAAATTTAAAGTCATTTTCTTCTAGCACTCAGTTTAACTTTTTATGATGGAAATTCTCAAACACACAACTTCAACATTATCAGTATATGGCCTATGATACTCGAATCTCCTTTACCTTTATTAGATTATTAAAATTTTACCTATTGAAATATGAATAGATAAAAGATAACAGTTTTATTTTAGCTTTGGTTTTTTTGAGGCAGAGTCTATGTGGCCCAGGTTGGCTTTGAACTCACTCTGTAGCCCAGGATAGCCTTGAGCTTATGATCCTTGGACCTCAATCTCTTGACAGCTGGAACTGTAGACTACCATTACCAGCTAATGCATTTTAAAATTATTTTTAATTTTAAATATATTTCTATTTTCATTTCTAATTATCGTTAGCCATGCAAGAGAGTTTCAATGCAAAATGTCAAGTTGTTTTTGTTTTTGTTTTTGTTTTTTTTTTAAACATCCAAGCGGGTGCTGGTGGCTCACGCCTGTAATCCTAGCTACTCAGGAGGCTGAGATCTGAGGATCACGGTTCAAAGCCAGCGTGGGCAGGAAAGACCGTCATGAGACTCTTATCTCCAATAAACCACTAGAAAACCAGAAGTGAAGTGGTGCTGTGGCTCAAGTGGTAGAGTGCTCACCTTGAGCTGAAGAGCTGAGGGACAGCGCCCAGGCCCAGAGTTCAAACCCCCATGACTGACAAAAAAAAACCCCAAAACACCCACATTACCATAACTCTAACCCCATAATTCTTTACTATCATTTAGTATCCAAACCAAACTTTCTCTTGTCTCATTTAATCTTAGTATATTTGAGTTGTTTAATCCGGTGAAAACAAGTTCCATATATTTTGTTTGGTTAAGTGTAGTCTTTTCTTCAGCAGTAAGAAGTTAATTTTCTGTTTTATTCAGTGAAACAAATAGCAGTGTTTTTCTAAGGAAAATATTTGAATAGTTTTAAAACACCATTATAAAATGAGAAAATTCAAGACAATCACTTGGAGCTGAGCACCTGTGGATCAAGCCTGTAATCCTAGTTATACAGTCCAATATCTGAGGATCACAGTTCACAGTGAGCCCAGGCAAGAATATCCGTGAGATTCTTATGTCTAACCAGCAAGAAGCCAGAAGTAGAGCTGTGAATCAAGTGGTAGAATGCCAACCCTTGAGTGAAAAAGCTAAGGGACAGTGTCCAGGCTCTGAGGTCAAACCCTAGTGCTAGCACTAAATAAGTGAAAAAGAAAAGCACTTTAAATGAATCTTCACATTAAAAGATCACCAATTGTTAGTGGAAATTTAGTTGTATTTAACATAAATCTGTAATGATCTAGAAGTTTGTATTAATTAGACTAATTTGTTCAGTGAAGCATTTTAAAATATCCTGATAAAAGCCAGAAAACGTTAATTTATTAGTACAAAAGGAAACTTTAAAAAAATCCTAGTCTAGGCCGGGCGCTGGTGGCTCAAGCCTGTAATCCTAGCTACTCAGGAGGCTGAGATCTGAGGATCGCGGTTCAAAGCCAGCCTGGGCAGGAGAGACCGTGAGACTCCTATCTCCAATAAACCACCAGAAAACCGGAAGTGGCACTGTAGCTCAAGTGGTAAAGCGCTCGCCTTGAGCTGAAGAGCTGAGGGACAGCACCCAGGCCCAAAGTTCAAGCCCTACGACCGACAAAAAAAGAAAAATCCTAGTCTAAATCTCCATTTAGCTTATTTTAAAAGAATTTAAATACTTTATTATTTAAGTACAGCTAATATTACAGCAATTAATAAAAAAAGTAAAAAAAAAAATCAAAGTCACCACAAACTGAAGATAAGTTCTCAATATCTAAGTATATTTCCAAGATGTAATTCTATTTTACAGTTTTCTTCCTTTGAGGAAATGCTTACTTGGATTAAAGGACAAAGTTAAGAAAATTCCAGATTCTCTAGTTGGAAAACTAGAAATCTAAGCAATATCAGGCTATTTTTATGGTAGACAGTTCATATTTAAAATTAATGTAGGGGCCAGACATTGGTGGCTCATGCCTGTAATCCTAGCTACTCAGGAGGCTGAGATCTGAGAATCATGGTTCAAAGACAGCCTGTGCAGGCAAGTCCATGAGATACTTACCTCCATTTAAACTGTCAAAAGGCTTGAGTGGTAGAATGCTAGCCTTGAGCAAAAAGCTCAGGAGCAGCACTAAAGCCTGGAGTTCTCTGTTCTGGTAGCATTTAGTATAACTATTAGCAAAAGATAGTTCTAAAACCTTTTAATGAAATGACTGTGAATAGCTAAGATTATTGTCAGGAAGAAATTTTGTGTAATAAAACATTCCCATCACCAAGAAAATAGCAAACATATTATCCCCTTGGTTATTACAAAGAGGAAAAAAATAAAACATATAATGCGCTTTGCATAATGCTGACCAGAAAAACATTCAGTTCCCTAGATGGTTACCATAGTTACGTGAGCCATTTATAACAGCAAGGGGGAAGTAGGTCACAGTATTGAAGGAGTTTGAATTATGCAATTATATTTCCTAAAAACAGGCAAAAGGATTAAAATTTAGGGAAGAGATTTATACTGGATGTTCAAAATTGAAAATCTCATCTGATTTTTCCTTGTGAAACTTAAAATTTTACTTAACAGTAAATTGTTGCTAGAAAGTTATTCAGCCTTGTAATAGCTATTATAACCATTAGTGTAGTTTTTTTTTTTTAAGGATACCAAGGTATTCTGTCATTATAGGTGCCACATTAATGATAGTTGGGTCATCTCAAGTGTTTTACAGGTAATCAGGTAATCTAAACCGAACAATTGCCTTTTAATATCCAATGTATATAATATGAAGATTTGAAGCTTGGCACAATGCTAAGCTCTTAAATCCTTTCACAGCAATTTTCTAATTAGTATCCTCAAGTGGGATTAAAAAAAGTATAGGGAGAAAGTGTTAAAAGTCTTAGTAGCAGGCCTGGAACTGGTGATTTACACCTGTAATCCTAGCTACTCTGGAGGCTGAGATTTGAGGATTGGTGTTTGAAACCAGGCTAGTCAGGAAAATCCATGAAACTTTTTTTTTTTTTTTTTTTTTGCCAGTCATGGGGCCTGAGCTCTGGGCCTGGGCGCTGTCCCTCAGCTCTTCAGCTCAAGGCTAGCACTCTACCATTTGAGTCACAGTGCCACTTCTGGCTTTTTTTTCTGCTTATGTGGTGCTGAGGAATCGAACCCAGGGCCTCATGCATGCAAGGCAAGCACTCTACCACTCAGCCACCTTCCCAGCCCCATGAGACTCTTATCTCCAGTTAACCAACAAAAAGCCAGAAGTGAATCTGTGGCTTAAGTGATAGAGCATTACCCTTGAGCAGAAAACCTCAGAAGTCATGGTACTATAACTTTTACCTTTTCCACTACTATGCTCTCAAGTTATTTTTCTTCAGAAACCCTATCTGTTGAGTTCTATGCAGTGTCCAATCAATAGAAGTTGAATAAACGGAAAGAAAAAAGATAAACCACAAGGTTGTAAAGTTTCTGATGGTTGTTCTTAATTTTGTGATTACTAGGAAGACTCATTACTTTGTGTGTGTGTGTGTGTGTGTGTGTGTGCGCGTGCGCGCATGCCTGGGTGCCTAGGTGCTGGCCCTGAGCTTTTGCATTCAAGGCTAGTGCTCTACCACTTTGAGCCACAGTGCCACTTCTGGTTTTCTGGGGGTTAATTGGAGATAAAGAGCCTCACAGACTTTCCTGCCTGGGGTTGGCTTCAAACCATGATCCTCAGAACTCAGCCTCCTGAGTAGCTAGGATTACAAGCCTGAGCCACCAATGCCCAGCTTACTTTAGCTTTTTCTATTTGTGTTTTTCTCTAACATTAAACATAACAGGATACAAAAAAAAAAAAAACTCTGAGAAGGCTGAAGATGTGGCTGAAGAGGAAAAGCACATGCCTAACTAGCAAGGCTAAAAATTGGATTATTAGCCGGGCGCTGGTGGCTCACCCCTGTAATCCTAGCTACTCAGAAGGCTGAGATCTGAGGATCACGGTTCAAAGCCAGCCCGGGCAGGAGAGACCGTGAGACTCCTATCTCCAATAAACCACCAGAAAACTGGAAGTGGCGCTGTAGCTCAAGTGGTAGAGCGCTAGCCTTGAGCTGAAGAGCTGAGGGACAGCGCCCAGGCCCAGAGTTCAAGCCCCACGACCGACAAAAAAAAAAAAAAAAAATTGGATTATTACCCCCCCAAATGGTAATATTCTTACTTTTTCCATCTCATTTTCAGCAATATTAAATGCACACTGTATTGTAGAGTATTTAGGACAATTTCCTCCTGGTTTACTGAAAAGAACCATTTCCGGAAAAAACATTAAGGTAATCAGAATTTATAAAGACCATGAAAACTAACCATACTCATAAGGGAGATAAAAACAATGCATGATCATGTACTGTTGTGGGAAATGTGAATATCATTCAAAGTAGATGAGGATAGGGCTGGGAAGGTGGCTCAGTGGTAGAGCGCTTGCCTTGCATGCTCGAGGCCCTGGGTTCGATTCCTCAGCACCACATAAGCAAAAAGAAAAAAGCCGGAAGTGGCGCTGTGGCTCAGGTGGTAGTGCGCTAGCCTTGAGCTGAAGAGCTGAGGGACAGCGCCCAGGCCCTGAGTTCAGGCCCCACAACCAGACCCAAAAAAAAAAGTAGATGAGGATAGTGTTGAAAATTCCTTTTATTGAAAGGTCAAATGTCAAATGGCCATGAAGGATATTCATTCTAGAAAGTTGCACTTACTATGAGAGCAGAAGGACAAGGAAGAATCTTTAAAAACTGCAGATGGACGATACAGCCAGGATCCAAGCCTTCAGGAAAGACTTTATGGGTTTGAGAAAGGGAAAACAGGCCCAGTAGCCAAGAGGTATGATGGTGGCCTGGAATCTTTTGAGTTCTGCAAGAAGAGATGATAATGGGTAAAATCAGGAGTCTATGCTCTTTTTGTAAATGATCAAGTGATAAATAATTTAGGTTTGTAGGCCAAGAGAGAAAATAACTTCCAGCAATGACACTGGCAAAAGAAACGTGAAGTTATGTGTATAAGGATTAATGATGCTTCTTAGTGTGCTGGACCTGGAGCTTGTACTCAAGGCCTGGGCACTGTCCCTGAGATTTTTTTGCTCAAGGCTAGCATGCTACCAATTAAGCCACCATTCCACTTGTGGTTTTTCTGGTAGTTTTTATTAGAGATAAGTCTCACAGACTTTTATGCCTAGGCTGGCTTTGAATTGTGATCCTTAGATCTCAGCCTTCCCAGTTGCTAGGATTACAGGTGTGAGCCACCGCTGCCTGGCTGACACTTTTTTGTTTGTTCCACTTAGGAAATGATCAACCATAATAAGAATGGTGACCAGAAGTGAGAAAGAAGAGAAAAATGTAACGTTTGTTGAAACTTGGAAGGAGGCAGCTTTTGACACCAGTTACTGACATTCTGTCCTCGAGTGAATGTGAACTTCTTATGTGTTTGGTACTAATACTTAAATTGAGTAAGTCAGTATCTGCTTTTTCCTTTTAAAATTTATTCTCCGCCAAGAAATCAGTGCTCTTATGCTGCCCTCTGGTGGCCAAACTATCTCCTTATTGAAAAACTTCCCCTGCCAGTCAGTCCTGTGCTGTGGGAACCTAGAGCCTATTTGTGTAATGCTCTTTCCCTACAATGAGCATGTTGAAAGATGTCAATAATACAGGTAGAAAAGGTTTTCCTTCCTTTAAATTTCATATTTTTTCAAAACTTACCTGAGTTTCCACAGAAGTCTTATTGAAAATTTCTACTATGTAAAACAATAATGATATATGATGCATGGTATATAATATGCATATTGTTAGAGTTCCTTCCCTATTTAAAACTAATACCTTTTTTTTTTCTAAAATTTTTCCTCCTACCTATCCCCCTTTTCTGTTTTTTCTTCAGTACTAAGAATCATACAGGGCTTTATCCATTATTTTTGAAATTAGAAAGAATTTGCTTCTTTATAATGATACTTGTGTTTATATTGGTTGTACAAATACTATCTCTTTAGGTTAATTTGAAATCAAAATTGAAATGAAAATTTTTGCCTGTGTTCTTGCTTGTTAACCTAGAAAAGCTCGCACTATAAGTCAACTCTTTTGTACACGCCCCTCTTCCTGTTCTGTAAATATTTTTTGAGATTTATTTTTAAATAAATATTCAACTTGCTGTGAAAAAAAAATAAGTCAACTCTTACAGTGAAATTCTCACTCATTGTACATTTAAAGCAGTTAGAATTTGTCCAGGGAGCCGGGCGCTGGTGGCTCACGCCTGTAATCCTAGCTACTCAGGAGGCTGAGATCTGAGGATCACGGTTCAAAGCCAGCCCGGGCAGGAAAGACTGTGAGACTCCTATCTCCAATAAACCACCAGAAAACCCGAAGTGGTGCTGTAGCTCAAGTGGTAGAGCGCTTGCCTTGAGCTGAAGAGCTGAAGGACAGTGCCCAGGCCCAGAGTTCAAGCCCCAGGACCGACAAAAAAAAAAAAAAAGAATTTGTCCAGGGAGTATGCAGTGAATCTTACCTAGAATGAACTACCTGACTACAGCTACAAATTTTCTCTTCCTTAAAAAAGTGAAGAGAAAAAAAAAGAAAAAAAAAAAATGAAGAGAATCTTGCCAGTGTGTTGGAATGGAAGGAAACACATTTTGCTCTGCAGTTCTACCAGGTAGCATGGGAAACATTTCCAGATTTTTTTTTTCATTTCCAGATTTTCTAATCTAACATGATCTTCCTAAAATTTTTCTTCCTTTGTAATCCAAATATCTTATTCCTGTTGTCAAAATACTTTCCCACATCCTCCTAGGTACTTGTTCAACTAGTCCAAATGAACTAAATGAGCAAGAAACCCTGAGTTCAAACCCCAGTACCCGCAGAGAGATAAAAAGAGGGGGAGGGGAGAGAGAGCTTAAAGATAATGTGGTTAGATGAGAATTATTTTATTGAATGATATGGCCAAAGAAGGTTCTTTGGAATGTACATTCTGAATGGAGACCTGAAGGATGTAAGCCATCAGGCTGTGGTCAGTCGGGGTCAGTCTTAAACTCTCCATGTTCTTTCCGGGTTTATTTTTATTCATCAACTGTCTGATAGTAGCAGAAAATATTTAGGTGTAGATTTGAAATTTTAAAATGTTTAGATCTATTCAAGTCTGTGTTCTTCAGACTATTATGCCTTTTATGTCCAAAGACAGGAAAGCTCCAATATTGATAAGGAAGGAGCCAGTTACTGGAATTACTGAACTTGTTCTGTTCCAGTGTTTTCTGTGTGTTGTATAGTGGTTCTGCACCAAAACCAGATTGGCATAGGAGACCCAGAGGTGATGACCAGTCTGGATATAGATATGAGTTCTAGAATTTTTAGATAGAAAAATTTTTTATCTGCAGTGTAAGAAAAAAATTATGATAGAACTCATATTTTGTTGTTATTGGTAAGTACCATCAAAGTTACTGACAAGGGAATAAAAAAGTTAATAAATACAGCTATTTGTAGCTGTATGCCAGTGTCATCAGTGTACATGCACAGACCTACCAGGCAGTATAGGATCTGCTCTGCATTTCTGAGCACAGGCAATGTTCTCAGAGCAGTGGGGGACCTCCAGGAAAGCAGCAAGCAAGTGTAGCTTTCCCTAGAAAAACCTGCCACCTACTAAATCTTTCAGAGAACTAGACTCCAGGAAAGTGATTGGAAGCCACTCAATTAAGTAGCTTTTAACCTGCATCTGTGTACAGGGAATGGCCTTAATGACTTACTGTCATTCATAGAAAATAAACCAAGTACAAACTCAATTCCTTTCACAAAAGAAGAAAATAAAAAGTTCACAAGTCATTACTGTAACTAGGATGCACCTTATTTTTCTTTAGTGTTGGGGTGGGTAGTGGAAGAGAGGCAAAGAAGTGTCAGACAAGCTATTACAGAGCAACACAAATGGAATAAATTTGAAATTAGTCCTTCTCAAACTAGCTACTCAGGAGTCTGAGATCTGAGGATTGTGATTTAAAGCCAGCCTGGGTAGGAAAGTTTGTGAGACTTTTATCTCCAATTAACCACAAAAATCCAGAAGTGGAGCCGTGGCTCAAGTGATGAGTGCTAGCCTTGAGCAAAAGCTTAGGGCCAGTGCCTAGGCCCTGAGTTCAAGCCCTAGGACTGGCCAAAGACCAACCTTCCCAAACAAAGCCAAAGTCTTTGAAATCTAGAAATCAAGAATGACTAAATTATAAAGACATCAAATATTTCAAATTGCTAGGTGGACTGGGCACAGGTTTCTCACTCCTGTAATCCTAGTTATTAGGAAGCTGAGATCTGAAGATCTTGTTCAAAGTCAAGCCAGGCAGACAAAACCAGAGGACTCACCCCCAGTTAGCAGGTCAAAAAGGCAGAACTGGAGACATGGCTCAAGTAGGTAGAATGTCATATGTGAACAAGAACTGAGCAAGAAGACAAGACCCTGAGTTGAAACCCTAGTATAAGCATACATACAAAATTGCTAGATGGTTCTCTGAACAACAAACTGATACAAAACACTTCGATATTCCCAAGTCTCATCATCAAGAATCACTTCCTGCAAAGTGTCAGTGGCTCAGTCTTGTAGTCCTAACTGCTCAGGAGGCTGAACTCTAAGGATCCCATTTCAAAGTCAGCCCAGGCAGAAAAATCCATGAGACTCTTATCTAATGAACCAGCAAAAAGCTGTAAATGGAGCATGATTCCAATGGTTAAATGCCAGCTGTAAGTGAAAAAGCCCAGCAAGTGTGAGCCTTAAGACCTATTACTGGCAAAAACACCACACAAACAAACCCCCCCCCCTCCCCCCCCCCTCCCCCCCCCCCCCCCCCCCCCCCCCCCCCCCCCCCCCCGGCCAAAAAACAACCCAGGAGATTATGAAGGAAGGTTCATATACAATTTCCTGGACACCAACCACAGTAAAACGCTGCCAGACCCACATGTCCATGTTGGCAAATTTCACTTTTCTCCACAGGCTGACATAGAACCACATTCCTCCCAATCTTGGTCTCATGTGTAGCTAGTATTACAGATGCAAACCACCAGTGCCCAGAGTTTTTTTGTTGTTTTTTTTTTCCCCTTGAACTGCTAGTTTGTTTCTTATTTTGACTTAGAATCTAAGCATTACTTAAGCTATATCCCATACATTCAAAATGCAGTATCTTCTATTTTTGTTAGTTTTAAAATGTTTTGAAATTTCCAGATGCCAAGCTTGGTACAATGGCATATGCCTATAAGCGCAGCTATTGCGGAGGCTGAAGTTTTGGGAGATTGAGTTGCAAACTAGTCCAGGCAACTTAACACCCCACCTCCCCCACACCTTCAAAACAACCCTTATGCCAGATTTGAGTGGTTAGTTTCTAAGGTTAGTTTCTAATCTCTAACTACAATTATATTTCGTATGAGACTTGCCACAAATACTTCATATATTTGCATATATGTTTAATTAATTGTATTACAGCCTGTTTAGCTTTGTTTTCTGTCCAATTGATATGCCGTGGACCATGGGAAGTGACTGAGCATCAACATACATCTGTATTTCAGGTCTTCCTATCTCTTTTTCATGTTAAATGTCAGTTCTCTACTTTTTGGGGTTTATTCATAACTGTTAGATCTATACTGTGAATTATGCCTTTTACCATTGTGAAGTGGCATTCTTCAGAAGTTAATTCTACCTTATCTGACAGCATGAATCCAATTCCTGCTCTTTTTGGTGTGACTTGCCAACATTATACTTGCTATTTGCAAGGCAGTGTTGCATCTTACACCCATTATCTCTTCTGATACTTTTTACTTTTATTGCTATATTCATGCAATCTTATTTTCAAACTATCTGCATGCTTTTGTTTCCTGGGCATGGTTGTATTGTGCTTTGAGGTTTGATCTGAAAATTATTTTTTGAGATAGATATGCTTTGTGTTAGTTTTGCCTTAATTTGTGGGGTTTTTTTTTGCTAGTCCTGGAGCTTGAACTCAGGGCCTGGGAACTGTCCTGGGCACTGAGCTTCTTTTACTCAAGGATAGTATTCTATCACTTGAACCACAGTGTCACTTCTGTTTGTGGTACTGAGAACTGAACCCAGGGCTTCATGCATGCTAGGCAAGCACTCTACCACTAAGCTACATTCCCAGCCCTGACTTTTCCTTTTATGTTTATCAAGATGTCACTGTATGATTTGTTTTGTATGTGTCTTCTTTTTAAATAGATTTTGGTTACTCTTAAAATGTTTATATTATGCCCATAATCTCCCACTTGGAAAGTATTCTTTTTGTTTTAAACACTAGCAAACTGTATATTTAATGAAAAACTCTTGCTCCTAAATAAAAATGATTTTTAAGTCTAACAATGGCTTTTAATTTTTTTGAAATTATTTTTTTCCCCAGTGTCCTTACCTGTCAACAAAATAAAATTCATACATTAGGAAAACATGAAATATCTCAAGGCTGTTGCAGTTGGCCCCAGCCATTAGTTTTGAAAATAGAGAAAGGGATAACATCAAGATGTGTTGTACTTACAAAATGATTTGTTGAACAGGAACTCCTTTACACAATTAAAGATAACAACATAATTTTAAGAGCTTTAATAGGATCATTAGCTACATTGTTACTTCAAATGATTTGAAAATATTTTATTATCTTTAAGTAGTTGTATCATTCCATATGTAATTAAGGGACATTTTCTACTTGTAGAGAACACAGAGCTGGCATTCAAATTTTATTCAATGTGAGCTCAATCTTTACCTGCCTAATTCTTGAACTTTCCCCATGTGTGAATAGGAAAACAAACCCACAACTCATATAGCCTTATTCTCATACGACTTGATTTTAGGCTAATCTTGAAATAATTCCTCCTGTACAAGAATGTGTTGGGCGAAGTAATTTGTGTCCCAAGTATGAATAGTCTCCTGCTTTAGCAAGTAATTTTAGCAGATCCTATACCTTCATGAACATGCTTCATAGAAGCACCATTTCAAATTGCTTTAAAAATGTTTCCTAATAACTTTAGACAATTTCAAGGCCTCCAAAAAGGACTGTTTTTTCCACAACTCCAAGTAGCACTCTTGTAAATGGCTCTCCCTGATGCTGTGCAACTAAGTAGCTCTGAACTTAGGATCCTGATGCCACAGTATTTTTAAGCTGCCTTTGCTCTGGTTTCTTAGAGTCCTAATAAACAGTTTGATTATAGCCAGCATATAAAAACATCAGACTTACTAATTCATTCTTCTACCTCAGTGTTATTGGACACAGGCAAAATTCACACTACAGCGGTCAGGACCCGTGGCTGAAATACCTGCTTCTTTTATCTTCACATTTTTCCAGGCTGCATTGATCAAGACACATTACATTCATAAACTGCTTTACTTAATGGCAACTCCTTTGTACAATTAAAATTCCTACCTTATATAGGAGACATACTAGCACAATGTTTGCTTGCAAATGTAAATCACATGGGAAAAGATATTTCAAAATAATGTCCTTAAAAAAATTAGTGTCCTTATTTTATCTCATTTCTTTCTTATGTGTATTCAATAATATGAGAAAAGTGCACTAAGTATTGTAAACTATATTGGTTTCCAAACTACAGGTTGCTGAGCATGTGTTAACTCCATCTGTATGTATGCTCTGCTATCAGGGCACACTGGTAACAGAAGTAAAAATGCTTCTCTGAAACTTGGTTGTTATTCCGTGAGAACCATTTTTTCCTTAGGTTATCAACAATGAGACAGGGGTCATTACATATGTTTCAAACATTCATTACTGACTATATCACTGTCCCAAATTATATAAATACATCTAAAAATACCTTCCAATTTTTTTTGGGGGGGGGAGGGGAGAATGCTCAGGATCACACCAAGGAATGCCAAGCAAACATTCCACCACTGAACTATACTTCCAGCCCCTTAAAGTTTAAAGTTTACTGAGGGTTTTTTTTTTTTTTTTTTGGTCTTTTTAGTCAGTGCTAGGGCTTGAACCCAGGGGCCATCTAACTTCTCCAAGGCTCTTGGCTCAAAGCCAGCCTGATCAGAAATGCCAAAATAATCAGCAAAAAGTTGGACTAGAGGAGAGGGAAAGCACTTGTCTGGCAAATACAAAACCCAAAGGTTAAAAGCCAGTAACACAAAAAAAATTCTTCCAGGTGTGTCTCATACCTATAACCCCAGCTACTAAGGAGGCTGAGACCTACAGGTTCCTGGTTCAAAAGCAGTCTGAGCAGGAGAGTACACTGGACTCCATCCCTAAAATAACCAGCAAAAAGCTGAGCTAGAGGGGCTGGGAAGTTGGCTCAGGGGTAGAGCGCTTGCCTTGCATGCCAGAGGCCCTGGGTTCGATTCCTCAGCACCACATAAGCAAAAATAAAAAATAAAAAAATAAAAAAGCTGAGCTAGAGGTATAGTTCTAGTGGAGAGCCAACTGATCAAGGATAAGGTCCTAAGTTAAAACCTAGTCTTTTCCCCCCACTCCAAATCAACAGAATTTCTGCAGTGATTTATTTCAAGGGGCTTTGGAAAGATAGTATAACTGGTTTTTGGTTTTTTGAAAAAACTATTGATGTGGTTTCTCAGCAACTTGTTCATCTGGTAAAAAGACAAGAGAAGACTTACAGGTTTGGGTTCTGAAGTAAAAAGACTAGGAATTCTTTAAGCAAATTACCTGTTTCATTTTCTTCCTATTCAAAATTACCCAAATGAGAATAGCTACTGCAAGCCTTATGAGAAAGTGTGAATACTTAAATACATATTAAACTATAATATACCTGTACTGTTAGGTAGTCTCTCATTTCATTTTCACAGCCCTACGCAGGACACATTACTCCTATTTTATTCAATTCCAAGTTTCCATGTTTATCAAGAGAACCAAGAACAGTCCCCAAAGCCTGTTCTTTGTACCACACTATTGGGAGACTGTACCTAAGGAATTATGTAATACGTATTTCTCTTAAGTCAGATTACAACAAATTACAACAAATGCTTAATTTGCTCTTATGCCAGGAAGATTAAAGTATTTTCAATAACCTCTATATCAATATAAAACAAACCATTTTAGAAAATTAACAAGTCACCTAAGATTTATTTCAAAAACTTATTTATTCTAGTACTTTGGCCCACTTTTCTAATAAGTATTGTCTCACAAAATACATATCCCAAGACAAGGGAATTAAAAGTGCTTTGTAATATATTCATGTTATTGCTCCCTATAATACATCAGAATACATTTACAGAATATGGATTTTTTTAGCTCTGGTACACAATAAAATATCCTTAGAACCAAAACATTCTCATCGATTATTCCTAGAATAGAAATAACTTCCATACACTTTACATAAATTGTCTTACTTATGAGGCTAATACAACTGGCCCATAAAGGTTCTTTTTTTGGTACATCACCACCATTATTGTTCAGTATGTAGCATCTACTAACACTTATCTAGAAAACCAAAGGCCACAAATATACCCAAACATCTTAAGCCAGAGTTTGAAAACGGAATACTAAAATAATTAGTCAGAATCTCCTAGGACAAACAAAATTCCACTTCATTACTAACAGATATAATTCAATTCAATCCACTAAGGAACTGAACATGGCTCTCAATAGCTTTCTCAGTATTATTCTCAGGATTTGAGTCACAAATACCACCTCATTCCAGATTTCAGAACTGTTACTTCCCTATCCATAAAAAATAAAACTTACTTGGTTGCAATCTGCTTTGACTAGTGGTTGGTAGCCAATTTTCAAGAATTGGATCTGACTTAGGGAGTAAAAAAAAAACACAACTTCTTGAAAGGTAAAATAGCTTAAAGCATTTAATATCTAAACAAATCAATCTGTTAACAGTAGTCACAAAATATGCTTAATATAGAAACCCACATTTATGTCATTAAGAAAAAGTGTAAATTGCATTTTTACCTCAAAACATAAATTAATCAGCTTAAAGAATCAGCATGAAAATCATGTGAATTTTAAACTTCAGAATAAAATAACAAGTACTTTACACTGCTTTCTATCTTAAAAATGCTTACAACTTCTCATAAAAATAGTCTGATGCAACTATTTTTCTTTTATTTAACAGACATGTTCAACATTATGGGCAACATTCTTAAAATCAAGTTGTACAGACTTTCAGACATTCAAATACTGTGGTCCCCTTTTCTTTGATGTGGTTTATTCAGCTAGAAAAAAAGCGTGGTAGACAACTTAACATTTTCACCAAATTCAAAGTATTACAAAAATTTTAAGATTCTACAGAACTACATATCGTACCTAATGTGTCATTAAAAATAGAAGACAGTATTTTCTTCAGCAAATAAAACAACATACTGGTATGCTGTTAATACATACCTTTTAATGTATACTGTCATTCACAAATTATTTACAATTTCTACTTTTGTGAAGACAACTAGAATGTAAATTTTCTGCAAAACTGGAAAAAAGCAATACAAAATTTGTGAAAGCCTGTGTTTTATATTGTACAAAAGTAAGCCAGTTTTTCTCTTCAAATACCAGATACTGTAAGCAGTGACATTTTGGACATATTATACTAATTCTTGAGGATGTTTTAATGCTGGAGGTAAGTTAATAGGTCTTGACTCTTCATCAAGGAGTACTAGATCTTCTATTTCACTGCCTCTGTATTTCCTTTTACATATTTTTACCACCACCTTTTTCTTGAGAAATAACTTCAGTGCTTCTCTTGATGCCACTGCTTTTGCATTTTCTTTGCTTTTTCCACAGCCAGTGCCCAGATACACAGACTTACATCTTAATTCACAAACAATACTTTCTTGCGAGCTCTTATTTTGAGGCAGATCTGCCAGTTCTTTTAATGGGACAAAAAAGACATCCAGTGTTGCTTTCAGGGCCTCAATAGCTGCATTTAGGAGCTCTCCATGGTTCACATTCGGACTAAAGCCACCAACTGCTACTAACTTCCAAGCAACTGTTTTATACAGTCTATTGAAAAAGGGCTGCTTCTGTTTGACATCTTCATTGGTTAACTTGCAACAAGTGAATTTGACCGAACTCTCACTTAACTGTGAAGTACTTTTAGAAGGCAATTGTGAACTGCTACTCTGAGTACTGCTCTTAGAGGCTAGCTGGGACACACTTGCTAAGGAAGTGCTTTTGGAAATCAGAGATCCACTGGTCTGGGAGCTACTTTTGGAAGCTAACAGTGATGCAGCTACCTGGGAAGTGCTTTTAGAGGTTAGCAGTGATGGATTTGTTGAGCTGCTCTTGGGAGTTAATAATGATGTACCTGTTGAGGAACTGTTTTTAGAAACTGATAATGAAACACTTGCCTCTGAACTAGTTTTGGAAGTTAACCCACTTGACACTGTCTCTGAACTAGGTTTAGAAGACAATAATGGCAATTCTACTTCTGAACTTCCAGAGGAACCCAAAAGGGGCACCTCAATCTCTGCGCTGCTCTGAGAGACTGAGAGTGATGAGCCTTCCAAAGCACTTTTTTTAGGTGATCCACTTTGCTGTCTGGAATCAGATGACTGGGTCCCGTGACTATTCACACTGGATTTCAACAACGAAGAAACAAATGATGCTGAACTGTGTTTATCTAGAGCTTCTGGTTCAGCTTTTCCCGAACCAGAAGCTTTTCCAGAACCTGCTGCTGTTACCTGAGAGGAAATGTTGCTCCCACTTTTGCTGGCAACAGTGCGATCTCCATCACTCGTAGAGCTCCGCTGACTGGAGGTGGCAGAGCTCCAAGCTGAACTTCCACTACTCTCTGATTTGGCAGATGAGCCCGGACTTGAACTGTTTTCCTGCTGAGCTGATGAACGTTCTGTTTTGGCAGAAACTTTTCCATGATCTCGCTCAGCTGCAGAATTACTTTTTCCTTCTATGACTCGTTTTTTGGATGGCTCCTCTACCCCTTCTATAAAGAAGGAAAAACATAAGAGATTTTACTAGGAATATCTCAATACATATCGCTGAAAAGACATTCACTAAAATAAAGGTATAAGGCAAAAAGTATTTTGGGACTAGTAGTTTGTTTCCTTTAAAAGTGGAGTAACTTCATTCGTTTCTTATACCAGTGTTGAACAACATCAATTTCTAATGTTAAATTAACAGCATCAGACAATAACACTTCAAAAATCTACTCAAATGCAGAGCCTAAAACACATACACACACAGTTTAACATTCGAACTTGATTAATAACATTTTACAAACTTTGACTTGTTAAAAAATATTAGTAGTAACAATTCCTAATTACATCAAACTTATTTTCTAAACTCCTAAGTATGTTCACATCTATGATCTGCTAACCATTGCTACTCGATATCCCTCTTTTCTTCACCTTGGCAACCAGTTCGTCTCTTGTTGTATGGATTGGAGCATCTGTCACTTTGATGCCTTCAGCCATACTAAGAATTTTATCCATAACTTTTTGAGGATACCTGAAAAAGAAGCAAAAATCGCTTTGATAAAATGTGTGGGTCCCCCTGCCCCGCGTAAACTCTTTACTTGTAATGTGCAAAAACGAAAGCAAAAAAAAAAAAAAGCCAAAGTAACTGCGTTTCCTGGTTTGCCATCCAGCAAGCGTAACCCAAGCGCCAAGAATGGTTTCCTGGAATCCCACCAACAAATGCCGGTGGGTCAGGGCTTCTCGGCCTTTAAATCCAGCGTCTACGACAGACGCCTTTTGCAGCTTCACGCCGACTCCACCTGCGGCCGCTCGGCTAACCCCGCAGACTGCTCGCAGGGTCGCCCTCTCCCCCCGCACCCCCCCCCCCCGCCCCGGAGCAGGCGGTGGGTGCCGCCGATTCCCGCGCTTCACAGCTTCCCCTTGCCCGGGGCCCGGCCCGGCCCGGGAGCGCCGAGGGCCCCGCTCCGAGGGCTGAGCCTGGGGCGCGACCTCACTCACCGGCACCCGAGGAAGACATGGTTTGCCCAGGCCATGGAAAACGAGATGAGCTGCTGCAGCTGCCGCTGGCGGGTCCCGCCCTCGGCGTCCGCAGCCTCGTCGGCCCCAGGGCCCGCGCCGCCGGCGGGGGCCAGGTCTCCGGCGTTGCGGAGCAGAAACTCGCGGCGGTGGCGCCAGTGTTTGTCCGTCTCGCCCTCGCAGCGCAGGGCCTCCACCCAGGCGGCCGCCCGCGGGTTCTGGCTCAGGTACTCCGACACCTCCTGCGCCATGTTGGGCCTGCAGGACGGGAAGGGAGGGCGCGAGGGAGCGGACGCGGCACCGGCAGGAGCAGGGTGCGCGGAGGCCAACGGCCCTGTCACCACGGCCTACAGCGGCGGCCGTCCGGAGAACGCCCCTCCAGAGGCCCAACACCAGCGCCCGGAGCAGCCGAACCGCCCACTTCCGCCTGCCGCCGGCGGCTGGGCTTTTATAACCTCGTCGCCGCCGCCGCCGCACGCACGCGCGGACTTCCGGTGCGAGCCGTTCCTCCCAGGATGCTTTGCGGCGCCGAGCCGCGGAAGGGACGCCGGGAGGGGAGGCGGGTGCGCGGCGCTTCCCGCCCCGCGTCCCCCACCCCGTTCCTCCTCCTTCTCCGCCCCCCCACCCCCGAGGACGGGCGGTCCCAGCTCGCGGCTGGAGCCTGGGGCGGGCGGGCGGCGGCGTTGTGGCTTGGCTTTGTGAAGCCGTAGGCTGCGGCCGCCCCCCCCCCCCCCCCCGGCCGGGCCCGGGCGCACCCGGGGTCGCCGCTGGGCCACGCGGCCTGGCCTGGGCGGCTCCGCCCCACGACGCTGCCGGAGTAAACAAAAGCTCGGAACACGGAGCAGCCACGCGTTCCGCGGCCGTCGGGGTCCCTGTTAGGTGGCCGTGTGAAAAGGTAAAGGGGCGCCGGGGTGCGGGCCCCCCCAGCGGCGCCGTGAACCGACCTGGCTCCTCTCGGCGGCGTGGACACCGCACTGGGCACCGAGAAGGTTCTGCGTCTGCGTATCGTACTCCCTTGAATGACACCGTTGGCTTCGGCTGGACTAAAGGCCTGCTCATCTCTTCCTCCACACACCTCTTCCTCTTAGGGCTGTTTTTTCCCCCGTTTAGTTTTTTTTTTTAACCATTTTACAGAACTAACCCTAAAAACAGCTTTATAACTGCGAGCTCCTTTTATGGCTAAGGTTTCCAAGTCCAAGCACCCGTCTACGCCAAGATTAAACAGTACACTTAATAGCTTAGTAATAGAGACATGGTATATGGTGAAATTCTTTCAAAGAAATATACTTTGATTCGAAGATGCATAAGTCCGAACAAAGAAAAAAAAAAAGGGTAACTCGTGATAACAATAAAATTAAGAAGCCCGGCGCTGGTAGCTCACTCAGGTAATCCTACTCAGGAGGCTGAGGTATGAGACTCCTGGTGCCCAGGCAGGAAAAGTTGTGATATGACACACACACCCAGGCAGGAAAAGCTGTGATATGACACACACACACACACACACACTATCCCTCAACCCCCCTCAGGACCTAGAGAAAATCTAAACAGTGGAGCTGTAGCTTCAAGGGGTAGAGAACTAAACGAGCAAAATTTTTTTTTAAAAAGCAGCTCAGGGACAGTGCCCAGAGTCTGAATTCAAATCCTATGACCAGACACCCCTCCCCCCCCAAAAAAAAAAGATTAACCAGGAGAAAAAAAAAAAACGTAATTTATATCCATGATAGAACAATCAAAGTTTGGCTATCCTCTGAAAACAGTATTGCCCTTTTTCCTGCCCCTGCTCAAAGAAACTATAAAGACAAAGCTTTTGTAGCTTGAGATTTTGCTTTTGGTTTTGCTATTTTGACCTTTTATTTTAATAATTGCCTCAAACGAAGAGAGATGAAAGGGTTGCAAAAAATTGACTTATTTCAAAGATGCAAAAATTTTATGGTTTTTCCTTTCATGAATTCTTTGTGGCAAAGCCTTTCTAATGAAAAAATCGTTTTATAGGTATTTATCATGAAAATTTTAAACCAATTATTACTTTGTCCTGTAGCCTTCTGATGAAAAATCGAGTGCATATTTCCAAAAGAATTGGTGTGTGTGTGCAAAATGTGTCTCCCTGAGTTGCCCAAGCTGACTTTGAATTGGCTGTTCGTCTGCCTCAATCACTGAAGTAGCCAGTCACAGCACTGTCATAACCTGGCTTAAATTTTAGTTAACAAGTGCTTCAAATTTGAAAGACAGATACTTAACAGGAAATACACATTTTTCTTTTTGATTCACCAAAAGTTGGCTTTGTTTATAGAAATTCAAGGCATAGATCATGGACCACAAAGTTGAGAATGCCATTTATATTTATTGTTGAATGTTCTGGGCTGGGTATATAGCTCAGGGATAAAGCACTTTCCTAGCAGGTGAAAGCTCCTGTGTTTGATCCCCAGCACCACTGAATAGTAAAAAAAAAAAATGCTGGACTGGGAAGAGATTTGGAGAGAAAAGACAGAAGAAGAACATAGGTGATAAGTAGGGGTAAGATGGGGGTGCTGGCTCATATAAGTTGCTATATAGATTTTGTGAGCTACTAAAAGGATTGGGCCCTGCCTGAACTTCTGGAAGAAGGGAGCCTGTGTAGTGGACCCTGAATTACCATGGATTGGTTCTAGAAGAAATGAGCATAGAGAGGGCCTTTTATCGCTGTGATAATTGACCATGCTGCCCCCTTCCTTTCACCCCAATGCACGTGGACACACACACACACTACCCCTCAACCCCCCTCAGGACCTAGAGAAAATCTAAAACATTTCCAGCAAATAGTTGAATGGTGAAGTCCCTGCCAGAAATCATGGTCCCTGGTTGATGAGTTGATGAGTCTTGGGGGATGGGGAGAAGTCAGACAGCCACATCAGCCAAGGAGGAGGCAGTTCCTTTCAACCAGATGGTGCCAAGTCATTAAGAAAGAACCCTCAAACTGGCCGAAGTGGTCAATGACCATGTGTTGCTTATGCTAGGAGATTGGATTGCTCCTGCCATGAAACCAATATAAGGAAGCTTAGTGATATGCTAGAATTGATGCCTAAGTCTCTATCACTGCCCCAAAGAAAAACCAGATCTGAAGAGAAAAGGGAACCACTCTTAACCATCACCACCTCTGAACAGAGTTTCCAACAGCAGGTGACTGAATTTTCTTCATTTCAAAAGACTAAATTTTCTACTATAATTAGAAGCATATTTATTTATATTGCCGCTGTATCAAGTATCTGAAGAAATTCAGTAAAAATCTTAGCAGCTACTGGGCCCAAGTGGCTCACTCCTGTATCAATACTCCTGTATCAGGTACTCAGGGGGTTGAGATCTGAGGATTATCGGTTGAATCCAGCTTAGGCAGGAAAGTCCATGAGATTCTTACCTCCAGTTAACCACCAAAAAGCCAAAAAATGGGGCTGTGTCTTGTGAGTGCCACGTTTGTGCTTTTTCTTGTGGATTTTTTTTTTCAGTGTCTCTGCCTGTGTCCTGAGGTTCAGTAAGAAGTCACTAGATCTGTCAGGTTATGTAGCCATACCTTAAATAAACACTGGCCAGGGAAATACCTAATTGTACAAGTCTTGAGTCAAGTTCCTACCCTAGGAATGATAAAATATCTAAGCAGGCTGAGTATGGTAAAGGAAAATAAGCAAAATAAACAAGAATTTACACTCAAGGACATGAAACAACATTATGAACAGAAGAATAACCAAATTCCAGAAAAGCGTCTAAAGAAAGGATAGCAGTAAGCAGTTTCAAATAACAAGAGACAATTTACATGAGGTGCTACTGCTAGAAGGACTATTAGATCTCTGCATGTTAGCCAAAGTTGAAGAATTTTTAGTCTCTTTTTTGTCAAGTCAGTGGGCTTGAACTCTGTGCTTGGGCGCTGTTCTTGCGTTCTTCAGCTCAAGGCGAGCACTCTACCGCTTGAGCCACAGTGCCACTTTCGGTTTTCTAGTGGTTTATTGGAGATAAGAGTCTCACAGACTTTCCTGCCCAGGCTGGCTTTGAACCTCGATCCTCAGATCTCAGCTTCCTGAGTAGCTAGGATTACAGGCGTGAGCCACTGGCCCCTGGCTCGAATTTTTAGTCTTACTGGAAACTTCTTCTGTTCAGTATTCGTGAATACTTAATGCTGATAAAATGAAGTATTATGCTTTATTTTCCCATTCTTTTGAAACTCTTTAACAATGTCTTATCCCAGAATATGTGAGGTTTAAATTTGGGCAGGAGATATATACATAGATCAAAGAAGAGCTAGCATTTGGAGAATTGCAATTCAATTTCTACAAGATAATGAATTTAGGAAACCTTGACTCTTTAGAGCCCTGGAAAGTCAGCAGTAGAAAAAAGAACCTTAGAGAATTATATCTACTTTGTAAATGAGAAAAACAAGCCACAGAGTAGCTAAATGATTGCTCAAGGTCAAACAGTTAATGGTAGAATAAGAAATGAGTACTACAGTAGTTTTGCTGACTTCTGGCCTAGGACTTTGTCTCCTGTCATGTCATTGCTTGTGGGTGGAGTTTGACTAGTCATCGGTTTTAATGAACTCAGAAGGTATGAGGACTAAAATAGGAATAGAAACTGAGCTAACACCTGAGTCTAGGCACTAGGATTACTACAGGAATAATCAACTTAATTGTCAGACCATCTGGAAATTAGGAGCAAGAAGGATCATCAAGTTGTACTTATTTGTTCCCAGAGCTCCAGTACATGAATGTGTGTCTTGGGAGTTTGGGTAGTCCTGTTAGTAGAAGGAAGAAACTGAGAATCCAAGTGAAAACACAGCTTGTGTCTTAGTGGTTAGGGATATCTTTTTTAGGAAGACAGACTCCTGAGTTTGAATTCTATGTCTGCTGTTTAGAACTTTGTGGCCTTAGGCCTTTTCTTGGCCTTGGATTCTGGCTTTGTGAATTGCCACTAAAAAGAATTTTAGGACAGACACATCAAGGTAAAAATCAAGAAAGTTTATTTGTAGAGGAAAGCAACAGAAGATAATACACACCTAGACATTGGTGCAAATACAAGAGCACTCGGACATCAGGGCATTTGTGGTAAAATTGTGAGTTGGGAGTTTGTCTTAAATACTTATTAGGGTAAATGCTCACCTTTGATCTGGACACCTGGTATGTTCACTCCTTTGCTGTCATGCTGCTTTGGCATTATCAGTTGGGCACAGAGATATCCAGTCTAGTCAGTCGACTAAGTTGGATCACAGTGAAATAGATGTCTATTTTCCTTGAGCATCCCATTAAACAAAGGACGGTTTTATCAGCTGCTGTGTTTCAGCCAGGTGTCCTTCCTTAAGATAATTAATTTCCTTCTTTGCAAACACTTCTGTGATCAAGAGTCATCTTACCAAATATTCTTTTGCTCATAGTAAGGGCCTTTCTGTAAGTTATTTTTACTCAGTTCTCAGAGTG